GTTGGTGTAACTTGCGTCGATTGTAATGAGTAATAATATTACCCAAATTTGATTAGTAATGCGTTATTACTGCGTTACAGCAAAAGGTAATATACTACTGTAATATTATTACTTTTGTAATGCGTTACTCCCAACACTGTGTATATATATATATATATTTTTTTTATGCATTTCAACGCATGGCGGACACCGTTAAATTGCTTTTAGGTAGAATGTGTTTATATCGGGTGTGCCCATAGACTGTATAAAAACGGGTGTGCCTCACATGTCCTGAAAAGTGAAGTTGCGGGCTTTTTGATCGCCCCCTGGTGGCTGGCTGCAGTACAGTACAGGTCATAAACTCCGCCCTCTCCATGTAAACGAATGGGACTTGAGACAGCGAGCGCCGGTGTACCGACGAAACATGCTACCTATCAGATTGTGCTACCAAAAATATATTTGCATTGTTTTAAGGGTAAATTTATGGTAAGGGTATGTATGTACGGGTAGGTTTAGGGTAGGGGTAGGTATGGACATTAAAAAAAGCCTCAAACCAGAAATCACATGAATAAGATGCTGGTAGCACAATCTGATAGGTAGCATTTTTGCTATCGATTTATGCTACCTATCTTTTTAATGGGAGGTAGCACAATCTGAGCGGGTAGCCATCAAATGTAGCTGAGAGATTACTCCCAAAATATGATTTAAAGTATTTTTTGTGTAAAGCATCAAATAGACATTACAAAAAATTGCTTCAGCAAGAAATATTTTGTTTGAACAAATTTATTACATATACTCTTTTGGACCATGAGGGTGAGTAAATGATGACACAATTGTCATTTTTGGGTGGGGGAACTATACCTTTAATAATTAATTTTATTAATATTACTATGTAAATATGAAATTATTTCTTTAATGAAATGATACTCTAAATAATAAACTAAAACTGCCAGTAGGTGGTGGTAAATGTCTTTAAGTCATCGAGTCATTCATTCATTCATTTGATTCGTTCAAATGGCTGATTCATTCAGGAGTGAAGTAAATGGTTCTTTATGAATGGTCCATTAAATCATTAGGCTTGTATGACTTGAAGCGGATCATCACCATCAGATCGATCGGTGTGTGACATCAAAGTACCGCAAGAGCTATTAGAGAACAGATGGCTCCTTATGCTTTTGAATCGCTCTCACTTTGTCATACACCGATCGATCTGTGCAGCGCCGCTTCAAAGCCAACGCGCCTATGGCCATGGCCAATGGTTCAACGCGCCAAATGGTTCACCCAATTCGTTCAAATCGTTACCCACATAGGTTTGGGGCGGGGCAAGTGCGTTAAATGCGTTAATAATTTTAGCGAGTTATTTTTCACCGTAATTAATCAATCTAATTAACGTGTTAAATTACCAGCCATATATATATATATATAATTTAAGATGCTGTAGCGTGTCACCACATGGCATGTCAACGCGATTCTGAAGTATAACTGCCCCTTTTGTCATTTTCAAAGCTTACACAGGGTTTTCTGGACAATAGATTGTGCAAGCAAAACGCAGGGATAGTAAACACTAAGGTAAATGATATAATAATTGGGAAATCTGTTAAACAATGATTGAAGTAATGGGATAGGAGCACTAAGGAACTCCATAAGTAAAAGACATTGTGTTGTATTAAAAAGTAGTTAAATGCATCTGTAGCAGACAGTAATGCATTAAAGAGGCATGTGTTAAATGTTGTGTTCACTAGAAGAAAAGATGAGCAGCACCCCAGTATAGTTGGGTACATATCTGTAATTGACAGAAAAAATGACAAAGTGCTAAGAAGAGAGTGAACTAGAGACTGCTTAGTAGTCTGATGGACTGAAGATTTAAAAAAAATCTTGTGAAAACAAAACACTTCTAATTTGTTATATCCCCATATGGAATATCCATGCTGAACTGGAAACATCCGTAATAGCAAACTTGATAAGATGGCAAGTGTCTGTGTTAGCCTTTTTCACAATGTATTTTAAGCAACTTTAGCATACTTGATGCAAGGTCATTTTGAGCTGTAATATTTATTATAAGGTTAGTTATGTAACAACTGTCATTTTATACAGATCATGCCAAAAGAAAAGGCTATAAAACAAGATGGTTTGATATGAATTTTATTGAAATCCGCGCTCGTTTGACTCGCGACTCGCGCGTCTGAAACGTCTTCCGTTCTCAGTCGTTCTGCGATTGAATAAATGCACTTCTTGTCAAGAGAAAAAGTGACAGAAGCAACAGTTGTGAGTGGAGTGGCCAACCCTAGCCCCGCCCCTGCGTTAATTGCGTTAAATATTTTTAACGAAAAACGAAAAAATAATT